CATACTATGGAAGTCATGGGGGCACAGACACTGTTTGGTTACCAGTATTGTTCCAAATATAGTATATGTTTGCATTCAACAGCAGAAGGAAACTCATACAGGTTTAGAACAACAACAACATAACTTCCACTTTTGGGTGAACTATTCCTCCAAAGCAGCCTAATATAGCTGATGTTGCCATTTGTGTCAATAATGAAAATTAAACATTAGAAAGAAAATCACTCACTGTCCTTGACCGAATAGCTTTTGTAAAATAATGCATATTGAATTTATACAGTGAAGACTATTTGGTCTATTTGATGTCTATTTATTTTATACAATATAATATTTCTTATTCAGTGCTTTAAGTGTTTGTAGGTCAATTTCTTTGTTCTATTGTAATTCATGACTGTTTACTTGTCTTCAGTCAGTTTGTTTTTACGTAGGCATTTATTTATTTTGTGATATTGGAATTGGTAACAAGAATTATGAAATTGCAATGCATCAAAAATTTTGATTGGATAAAAATCCTATTTTAAGCTATATATATCATTATTGTGATGGGGGGCCCTGCAGTAAGTCATAGCCCCGGGGCCCAGTGAGGTCTTAATGCGGCCCTACCTACAGACTAGTTTATTTTAAAAAATCTTTCTTTGCACAATCCTACTTACAAAGTGATGTTAATTTCCCACTTTCTGATCAGCCTGAAAACCTTTTGGTGGAGCAGAGCCCCTCCCAGCCGATGGTGAAACTGACGGACTTCGGCGATGCAGTGCAGCTGAACTCGACTCCCTACGTTCACCCTCTGCTGGGCAGCCCAGAGTTTGCGGCCCCCGAGCTGGTTCTCGGGGATCCCGTCTCTCTCTCCTCTGACTTATGGAGTCTAGGCGTGGTGACGTACGTGATGCTGAGCGGGGCGTCTCCGTTCTTGGACGAGAGCGTGGAGGAGACGTGCCTCAACATCTGCCGCCTAGACTTCAGTTTCCCCGACGACTACTTTCAGGGCGTGAGCCAGGCGGCACGGGATTTCGTGTGCCTGCTTCTCAGGACCGAATCTTCCAAGCGGCCCCCAGCTGCCACCTGCCTGCAGGATCCCTGGCTGAGACCCGGAGGTGGCCGTCGCTCGGCCGAATGCATCGATACCTCTAGACTCATCTCCTTCATCGATCGGCGCAAACACCAGAACGACCTGCGGCCTCTCGGAGGCATAAGAGTCTTCCTGCAAAGCAGGCTACAGCCCAGGATCTGACCCGAGAAACGTGATCTCATCCTCTTCCTGATGCCAATTAAGAAGACTTCAGTCCTGAGCCTATCAAAATGTGTGCTGACAACCATATCTGCCAATCAGAGCCTTCGTCGGCAGACAAGATTTTAGATCGTTAGTCCTTTCCCAGTTTGCTGCTGCCTTGTTTCCAATTTCATGAAGACTTTTACGCAGAGATGAAAACAATGGAATATAAATATATATATATAATATTTCTCTGATTTGCTGAATGATCAACAAATCTACATAAATGGACTAATATTTTGTGTAGAACAAAACGTGGCAGAAGAAACGTTTTTGAAGAGAGCGATGCAAATGCAATTTAGCGAGGAGAACAACCTTTTTTCCCTTTCTGTTTTGCCGGAGCCAGAGAGCAAGCGGCTGTTTTTGTGCTTTTACAGAGTTCGACTCGTAACATTTCTTAATGAACCTTTAGAGAAAAATGAACAGCGCATAATAACGATGACATTTTCAGGTACATCTTTCAATAAAATCAGTTACATCAACTCAAGTCTGAATGAACGCAACACACAAATCGTGAGCAGATGAATAAGCGTTTTAAGTGAAAGCATGTTTTGGTCTCCTACTGTAATTAGTTGCTTATTTCAACAATGATGATTACGCCACATTTAGCTGCAAAATTTTTAACGGCTGCAAGTCTTTTTTTGATTTACTACGACTAGAACAAACTGTGTTGTGCAATCTACAGATGTATACGCCTTATTCTATACTATGTGTCTGCCCTGTTTCTTTCTTTTTTTCTTTCTTTCTTTCTTTCTTTTTAAATGCAATGTCACAAGGGTGGAGAGCAGAACTCCAGTGGGAGACAGCCATAGGACGGCCAGACGTCTGAGCTCATCAGCATTGAAGAATGACTGAATACTGTAAATGCACTCGCGTTGTTTCCGGTTCTTATCACGTGCAATGTTGCAGCTTCGATGGTTTATGCAACTATTTATGAAGACATCCGTTATACCTTTAATAAAAGCTTAGAATAGCACGTACTCGGTACTGCAGTTCTGCTGTTGTTTATTTAATCTGGTCTTTATTGTTAAGTATTAAAGCCCTGTCATTCTACAGGGATGTTGTCTACATGGCACTTATGCTAGTCACTTTTCTGTTGATATACATATTGGTATGCCAAAGCTCTCCATGCTTTACAAGAATTAGTTTTTCTTTTTGTTCCCCGACAAACATTTTACACCTTAGGTAGCTATGACTGGTTGTTTACACGAGTTATTCATAGCTTTACATTTGGGAAGAATTGTTTTTCTTTGTTTATTTTCCTTGGTGTCCATGTTATAGACATTTCACAGATCAAACTTTTAATTTTTTTGTGCATTATTGGAGTATTTCTGAAACGCACCTCCCATTTAGACTAGGCAGTCCTTGACATGAGAATAATTTGGTCATAGCAAGATATCATGGACAAAAAAATGGGAAGCCTTTCAATTATGATGTTTATCTTCTCATATAGATAGTTTTAATGCAAATGTAGGTCCTTTAGTTTTAAGGCCTCTGATAGTTTTTGGCGAGAGGTTAGTCATAAGAAGCTCTCAACAGTTTAAATTGTCACTGGAATGAATGGTTTGCAGTCTGTAACCATTGACCTGTTGCTCTCAGTGCGTTGATTTCCAGTGATCCTCGCGTCATACATCAGTCAACTGTTATATTTGAGATTTTGAAGCGTTCTGAAATGTTTGAGTGCTGGACAGTGACTCTTTCCCGGTAGGAAGGAACATTGTTAATTCATCTGTATAGACCCATATCATGTCCTCTAATTTATTTGTCATTGTGAAGTTGTACAGATGCCTTTACAGCGTGGGAACTTGGACTGGATACATTTTTTTAAGTGTTTCATTGAATGTCTAATTTGAGTTCTGATCTCATTGTATTTTGATGTATGTATTATCATTTTAGACTTGTTTTATTTGGATTATTTTATACTTTTTGCATGTGTATATTTCTTTGTACAGAAACCATAAGTGTTTTCGCGATATGTGCTGTAAATATTTTCAGTTTTGCCATCAGTTATTTTGAAATTAAACATAATGGAACATTCTCATGGCTGCTGTGCTTTATTCTGTTTTGGTTTAAATTTTTAAGAAGTGAGGGACTTGCTGATTGAAAACAATGCCGATTTGTAAACACTATTTGAAGATTTGGTTTGGGCACCAAGAACTGTTTTCATTTATTATTGCTTTCATCAAAAAATAATAAGTAACAATTACTGGAACATTCAGTTCCATTATTGTTTCTTAAAGTGAATGGAAAGCCAAACTGTTCCCTGAACTCCTATTCACAACAACAGCGATACTGAATTTACAGCATGAACCATACAGTGTTGTCTGATACCAAAAAGAATGGCTCTTATTCTTCATAGTGTATCAACAAACGCATTAATGACTCCCGTTAGCTGGGTGTTTTAGCGAAACACTGAAGTATGGTAATGTATGGCTATCACTTAATACTTATACTAAGTACACACAAGTAACCATTCATAACATGTAATTATTTTGTGTGAAACTAAACAAATCAAACATAATGAGATTTAACTTGATAATAGTAGTAAATAAATAATTGAACATCACTGCATCCTTTTAATAACTTATAGTTCGACATTTAAAGGCACAATATGTAATTTTCGCCGCTGGAGGGGGCGTATTCAAAATAAAGAGACAAAGGCGTAGTTTGATGACGCCGTGACTGAGTGTGGAATCATGGGAGTTGTCATCATCTCCACGGTCTTTGGTGTTTCCATGTTTTCTACAAAACAAAGCCGGAAATCGATGGTGTATGACGTCATTGGCAGGTCACACAATGACACTATGGATACGGTTCGTGTCACTGGTTAAAATTGCTTATTTCTCTGGATTTAAACATTCTTCGAAACATTTGGGATAATGTAAGTACACAAGTCAGCAAAATATATAACACTGTTCTAGTGGTTTTTGGATATTTTAATAAAAAAGTCTTACATATTGTGCCTTTAACACAATTACATTCAAGATATGTCCAAATGTGTAGAACTTATGCTAAGATATCTGGCTTACTAGCATAAGCTCTAAGCCTAAACTAAAATATTAAAGTAGATCACTTCCAGAATGAAAATTTACTCACCCCCATGTCATCCAAGATGTTCATGTCTTTCTTTCTTCAGTCGAAAAGAAATAAGGTTTTTGAGGAAAACATTCCTGGATTTTCCTCCATATAGTGGACTTCAATGGTGGCCAACGGTTTGAAAGTCCAAATTGCAGTTTCAATGCCGCTTCAAAAGGCTCTACAAGATCCCAGCCAAGGAATAAGGGTCTTATCTAGCGGAACGATCGGTCATTTTCAAATAAAAATACACATTTATATACTTTTTAACCATTATATGGAGAAAATTCCTGGAATGTTTTCCTCAAAAACCTTTTTTTGTGACTGAAGAAAGAACATCTTGGATGACATGGGGTGAGTAAATTTTCATTCTGGAAGTGAACTACTACTTTAATATTAACAGTCACAAATGGTCATTATATAACTGTTCAAATGACTATCAGGCCATGAAGAGTGCAAGTTATTTGAGCCAGTGGGGTCCAGACTGGATTTTGAGGGAGAGTCCGATTTCTCATGATACTGTGATCTGATTCTTGAACAAATTACTCTTCCAGTTATTTTTAGTGAATATAAAATACTAGAAATCAGTCACAACAACCTGTATAAACACATTTTGTAAAAATTGTTTTAAATTTGGTTTATGATCATTTGTAATCTTGCTGAGAGCAGTGAAAGTGTATTTTCCCCCAAATAACTCTTTCTCCAAAAGAATTGCTAATAAGACCTGAATCATTGAGAAATCGAAATCTCCTCACATGATGCCATGTCTAACTTGTAAGAATATTTTATGCTATTATGGAGATGAAACCAGTGGCTTGTGTTGCACTGAAGGTGAATGTGGATTTAAAGGTGGGGTGAAACAGCTTTTATAATACAAAACATTAATGTGTAGGGGAGAAAAACAGGTGCGAGTATAAAGAAGTGGGCTGTAGGACTTTTATTGCGTCACATAGGTGAACACTACAGTGGTTTGCATTGTGTACAGACAATACGAGGAACAACATGGTGACATTGCACAGTAGTAACCAGCGATTTACAAACAGACTTTGTTCTTAAATAACACAGTATTAATTCATAATTACAGAACTGGAAGACAGAACTAAAGAATGTCTAAATGAGAACGATCCAGCTTGGGCTCAAATCAGTGTATAACATGAACCGTAATGTAAAACCTAGCAATATTAAGACACTGAATATTCATGACATAAGCCCATATGCTAGACTCATCTGGCTGCATATAACTGCTTTATCTTAATAGAAACTTCTTGCATGACTAATAGAGAACACATTTCACCGAATGCTAATGGACCGGTGGGCAGAATATAGCATCTGTTGCTGAATTTATACTGAAAGACCCCCTGTCTTCCTGTCTGTGAGTGTCATAAGGCTTTTGAATGTCATGTGACCATAATAACGACATAATCATTATCAAAGTCAGCATATGGGATTGCTTGGAGCTCTGGTGCATGCACGATATTATAGTTTGCAATGTTTTATGCCCTTGCAGCAATAGCTGTCTCACGCTTATTAAAGCACAATAATCTCCATATACGTGTAGATAGATATTTGAGAAGCAAACATGCCCTATGATGTCTTGTAATATTGCGGTTTTGCCTGATTTATATAGCAAGACAGTAGTAATTCAGCACTGAAACCAAACCCATGTGCACTTTCGCCCCACTTCCAAAATCTCTTTTTATGTAAATGAATAACAAAGAATTTTTTTAAAATACTAATGGTAATAGTAATCAATTAAATAACTCGACAAAACAGACGCAAAAACAAAAAAAAAAAAGGTTTATGTCAATCTTTGTGTACAATCTTATTAGTTCACAGAGTACAATAGCTTAAGACTTGAGCAGATTTTGTTCTTACATGGAATCTGTGGTATTTATATATTCCAGCGCAACACACTACAACAGTTTCAACCAAAGGTTCTGATGATAAACAGTTGTCTTTGCCTTTGTATAGCCCTTAAGGTCACCATTTAAGCTCCAGGTTGACCAAACCATTTCCAGTTTTTAAATTCTTATAGATTTTAAAGGGTCATTTAAAATTGCAGTAACTGATGTCCATTTTTTGGTCTCATAGCATGAAAAAACATTTTGGTTTGCTTCCTGTTATATTCTAAAATGAGAGTGAATAGCAGTGCCTGTATCTGTACAGTCATCCTTTAAATTTGTTTAACAGCCAACCTAACAGAATCCGACTTTAAAGCATTTTAACCCACTCCAGTCTTTGTTTCAAAGCCATTTTAAACAACCTTAACCTCAATGGAATGCAGAGAACTGTCATAAATCTAATCTAGGCTATTTCTGGAATAAATTATTGGTCCTAAAACCTTCTTCCACCATCCTGGTGTTCCTCCATCCCTCTATCCTTTTAGCAGAACGTATGGAGTGCTGTCTGACTGTCTGCCTTGGTGTGTAACGATTCCCAAACATAGGAAAAAATACAAAACAAAAGACACATCCTAATATATCACTATATTAGACATTTGAGACAATTACATTGTGATGCCGAGCGCATGTGTGCCTGTGAAGTGTGTCTTTGGAGTATTGAGTCCTGAGTGTGTCTGAGTCCTGTGGCTGTGGTTGTTATTTGCGGTCCAGTCAGGGAGTGTAACAAGCCGGTTTCCACCAATAAGACGATATAGGCCGTATACACAAACTGGAGTTTTACATTCATCCAAACCAAAACTCCAGTGGAGACATGTATTTGGACAGAGGGGGGCAGTGGACACCACTTTTTATGCACATGGCGTGAAGAGATATTCAGAAGGCACTGGGGTTTGGTGGAAATCCGACTCTAACAAACCTGCAAAAGACCTGATTGACTTTTAAATCATACAGTGAGGCGTACACTGCAGATCTCTACTTGCGGCGTCCGTGATGGTTGTGCATGTCCTCCATGGTGACTCTGCCCCACACGCCGATCACAAACGCCTCAATCTCGCACTCATTTACACCACGAGCAATTCGGAAGTAACCATCCTCGCCCCAGTTCTTGCCCCATGAGTTGGCTGCGATCTGTGGAGTGAAGGAGAGATTGTTTAAAATGTGTAAAAATGTGCAAAAGCTCCTGTTGAAGAGAAAAGATGGATATAATTTCTCACCCAGTATTTGTGTGTTCTGACATTGTAATCTCTTTCCTCTCCCCATCTGGAAATGTGCAACAAAAATCAATATGCTATTGTGCATTCACCAGACATTAGTATTCAAAGCAGCTCTCTAAGAATAGGCTCTAAAATCAATGCCCTCATTGATTAGATTTTATGAGAAAAAAAAAATAATTTAAAAGAATGGAAAAGAAAAGGTGTACACATCCAACTCAAGTTGAGTAGGCCTACAGATGCAGGACATAAAAAAAAATCAATCTATAATATAATATAATATAATTTTTGTTCATTTATTTATTTATTTATTTATTGAAAATAGTTGTGATTTTTTTTTGGGATAATTTAGATTTATGCTTAGTTAAATTAAGAAAAATAATATATTTATATTTTACTTGAAGACAAGGTAAAAATATTCATTAAACAGTGAGGAATATTCACACTTTCAGTCAAAAAGTCTAATTTAATTACAAAATTTGGTCTTTTTTTATAATATAATATAATATATTTGTTTATTTATTTATTGAAAATAGTTGTGATTTTTTGGGGGATCTGACATTGTAATCTCTTTCCTCTCCCCATCTGGAAATGTGCAACAAAAATCAATATGCTATTGTGCATTCACCAGACATTAGTATTCAAAGCAGCTCTCTAAGAATAGGCTCTAAAATCAATGCCCTCATTGATTAGATTTTATGAGAAAAAAAAAATAATTTAAAAGAATGGAAAAGAAAAGGTGTACACATCCAACTCAAGTTGAGTAGGCCTACAGATGCAGGACATAAAAAAAAAATCAATCTATAATATAATATAATATAATTTTTGTTCATTTATTTATTTATTTATT